GACAGATCTCTGAGTTTGAGACTTACTTAGGGAGCTCCAGTCCAGCCTAGGCTACATAGTGAAACTAAAAAACAAATAAGATTAAAAAAAAAAAAAAAAAATAAGAGAAGGTACAAATTTCTTTTTAATGGACCAAAGAAAAATCACTTTAAAAAGTAACAGCTTTATTTCCAGATCCAGGTTTGAGGTCTCCCTTCTGTGGCCTTAGAAGCTTTCAAAGGAAGTGCTTGGTTCACAAAGTCCCCGAGGACATGCTTAGGGCCAGGCTCTACTTCCAGGCAGAGTGCTGGGCAGAGAGGCCTTACTCTGCCCTGGCTCATTTACCCTCCAGGTGCTCTGGAGACACAGAATGGAGCCTGAGGAAAAAACTGAGTCAAGGTAGCAAAAAGTGATTTACAAATCCATTCGTTTGTTCAAAACAATAAACACTAGGACTGTTGGGTCCCTAAGAAGTTATTATCCACTTTTCCCCTCCATTTCCTCTTCCTCTTCCTAAGACATTAGGCAGCCCTACCTAATTAGATTGTCTTCAAACTTCTAACAATCCTCCTGCCTCATGTGCCTCCATGATCAGCCTCTCTTTTTAATCCTTCTCCTCTCAGAAAGACAGGGCTCCACAGGTAGCCCAGGCTAGCCTCAAACTTGAGATTCTCCTGCCTCAGCCTTCCCAGCACTGGGATGCAGGTGTAGATCACCACACCTGATTTATTAAATGATTCTTGCTAGATATCTGAAGCAAGAGGCAGAAGAGACTGGAGACTGATAGACACTATCCCTCAGGCAAGGGGTGTCTGAGAAGGGGCTTGCATACATAGGTTTGGGGAATACAACCCCTGGGGCTACATGTAAACCTGCAGTTTCTCCCCCTGGAGTTGTTTGTCCAGGCAAGGCTGTTTTATCATTATGAACTGTCCTGCCCTGACTATCACGATATGGGTCATAGTGGGAGTTTGGCAATGGCAGTGATGGGGGCAGGGTTGGGGATTCACTATAGTACCTTGGACAGGGTGGAGGAGTTTATTCAAGACCTTCCTTTCTTTTCTTCCTCCGTCCCTTTCTTTCCTTTCTTCCTTCCTTTGAAAGAGTCTAACTGTATGTATAGCCCTACCTAGCCTGGAACTTGCTATGTAGACTAGGCTGGCCTTGAACTCTGCCTTCTCATTGTAGGATTATAGGCATGCACCAGCACCACCACACTCAGCTTTTTAAAACAACAAACGCCCATTATTTATTGTGTGTGCACATCCGTTGCATGAGTGTGGAGGTCAGAGGACAACTCTTGGGAGTCCTTTCTCCCCTTCTACCATGTGGGTCCTGTGGGCCAAAATCCAGTCTTCAGATTTGGTGGCAGGTGCCTTTACCCACTTAGTCATCTGACTGATCTCTTTCTTTGTTGAGACAGGGTTTCTCTGTGTAGACCAGTTTGTCCTGGAACTCAAAGATCCGCCTGGCCCTGCCTCCTAAGTGCCCAATTCACTGGCCCTTCTTATTTGAGCTTTCTTACCATTCATGCATTCTTTCCCACCCCCATATTTATTTTCAGCCATACTCCCCAGAATTTAGCCTAGTGCTGGCATAAAACAGCAACTCAACATGGACAGCCAGATACCCACACTCCACTATCACCTGGCTTTTCCTCATCAAATATGCATTAATGTATATAACAAAACAAATGTATATGGTCCTCACAGACTGAGTCTCACAGAAGTAATTGACATATGTAAAGTTATACTGGTAGTAACTACTTATATTCAACCCTGAATATTTCTATGCTTTCTCACTGACCTGCTATAATAATTTCTTCTCTGTTGAAAACATTATGCCCTGGAAAAGGATGGGGTCAGACAGAATAAAACCCCAAAAGTCTGAGCCTGGACTATGATGGGTGTCTCTTGATGATTCTGGAGTTTGGCAGCTTCGGAGAGATTTCAAGAGCTGATTGTCCCCACACCTGGCTTATCTAGGGCTGCTCTTGGAAGGGAATGTGTAACAGATACCAAGGTGAACCATTTCAGCCAATAAAAAGCCCCAGAGAGTAAATAGGGATTTCCATATCCACCTGGCAGGGAGGGCCTGGCAGCAGCCAAGGTGGCTTCCCATAAATGGCCTGGCTTAGCTTACAACCTTAGCGCCTCCACTCAAGAGGCACAAAGGCCTCCTTCCTAGGAAGGCCTGCATGAGCCCTAGTCACAGGCATGAGTAATTAAGGGAAAGTTTAGGAGGCTGGGGGTGGGAAGTGAGTATCTGATGATGTAAGGTGATCCTAAAGCAGTTCCATGCTTGCTTTTTCTCTGTCTGCTGGCAGCTCTCAGCACAACCTTCAAACACAGAGGAAATGGGTGTATTTAGTCCACACAGGTGGACGCCTGGGAACTAGGTCAATCATCAAAAGACCAAAGCCGGGTTGGAGAGATGGCTCAATGGTTAAGAACACTAGCTGTTCTTCCAGAGGACCTGGGTTCGATTTCTAGCACCCACATGGCAGCTCACATGTCTATAACTCCTGTTCTAGGGAATCCAATACCCTCATACAGATATACATGCAGGCAAAGCACCAATGTACATTAAATAAAACAAAAACAGAACAGTCAGAATTGGTATCTACCTCCTACCACTCAAGAAACAGAAGCAGGAGAGTTTCAAGGCTCGCCTGGTCTACAGTAGAGAGTTCCAGGCCAGCGAAGGCTACTTAGTGAGACCCTGTCTTGAAAACAAAAACAAAATAATTTAATCTAATTTAAGAATATGCTTAAATAGTGGAAGGGGTTTTGCTTTTGTTTAAGATTCTGCATTCTAGAAGCCAGTGGAAGATTTACAAGGCTGTGGTGTCAAGCTCATGGAGCGTAGGAATGATCAGACCCTATTTGTGACCTTTTAGCCACCAGTATCAGGTTTCTATTTCCAAACTCCTGGGCAGCAAGCTCTACAGGAGATTGTCTGGTAGAGCCTGGAGCCAATGCCACAATCCTTCGTTTCCCCAGGAGGTCCAAAGAGAGTGACACCACCTTCCTAAATCTAGGCAACCCTTTAAGTCACAAAGCAGTTCCTGGGGTATATATAATGTGTGATATAGAGCAATTCCACACTCTACTGGAGCAATTAGAGCCCTGTTGAGTAGTGTCAGAGCCTCAAACATAAAGGGAGCTTAAACTGGCCATATGGAAGCTTGTAGGATGGTGTGAAGAGGCTGCCTCTTCCACCCAAACCACCAGTAGGGACCCACAGGACAAGCTCCATCTCCATCATCACCAGCTGCTCTCAGCTCCCCCACCTGAAGACCTCTGTCCACAATCTATTTTACAATGGACACTGCTTTCCCCAAACATTGGCACATATAACCTGCCCGTCCTTCAACCCTTCCTTTCTCCCTTTCTTTCCTTTCTTTGTGTGTGTGTGTGTGTGTGTGTGTATGTTAGAAAGTCTGATCTCACTCTGTAGCCTAGGCTAGTCTGGAACTCATTACATAGACCAGGCTAACCTCAAACTTACGACTTTTAGCAATCCTCCTGTCTCATCTTCCCAAGCTCTGATTATAGGAATGAACCACCACACCAAAGCTCAATTCTCACTGCCCTGCCCTCTCTGAGAGAAAAAGGAATCAAAAGACTAAGTAAGCCAGGTGGTGGTGGTGGCATGAGCCTTTAATCCCAGCACTTGGGAGACAGAGGTAGGCAGAGCTCTGTCTGTGAGTTCAAGGCCAGCCTGGTCTGCAAGAGCTAGTTCCAGGACAGACTCCAAAACCACAGAGAAACCCTGTTCCAGAGAGAGAGAGAGAGGCCCACTGGCACTCTTGGAAACATCCTAGGCCACCCACACCTCACTAGCCTATCCCAAAGTGCCACCAAAGGGCCTCTTGAAATGCTCTCAGCAACCTACCAGCCACTGAGATTATTCCTTAGATGTGCAGCAAGTAGAGATAGGCTAGGCAAGCATTGACCACTCCAACCTCAGGGTCACAAGATAGCACTGCTTTCCTCGGCTGGGAGAAAGCTCCAGTCAAGTCTCAGAAAAGCAAATACAACTAACCAATCTAGCTGCTATTTCTCTGTAAAACACATCATCAAACCTGGACACAACTTCCAAAGTTAACAACAAATTTGTAGACACCACCCTCATGGTTGGGATAGGTCTTTCAAGTGGCCTATGGCTGGAAGAACAAACTTGGTCAAAGGGATTCTGAGTGACTTTTCCTTTTTATATTTTCATTTTTGAATATCCTGAGAGGTCTTGATACAAAAGACACACCTGGAACCGAAGGAAGTCAGTGTGTGTGTGTGGGGGGGGGGGAAACCTGGTCCTCTTACCTTGCTCCCAGCCATGCCCAAGAGGGAAACAAAGAAAGTTCTAGATTACCACAGTGAGATAAGACTTGAACTATATTGAGTGCTTGCATGAATAAGTCAGAGCTACCATCTTTCTCTAAGGAGGCCAGCCTGGTCTACCTAGAGAGTTCCAGGACAGCCAGGACTATACTGAGAAACTCTGTCTCAAAATTAAAAAAAAAAAAAAAAAGGAAGAAGCAATACCTGTATCAAATATGAACAAAAGCCACAATCTCTATGAACAAAAGCCACAAGTCAAGAAGAGCCTATTCCTCAGTGACTGCCTAAATAGTGGGAGTCAAAACCCGATTCAGATGCCTGCCCTGCTGACCCTGTAAAGTCACCGTTTGAGCCTCCGATTGCTCATCATTAAATGGGAATACCAGCCAACTGTCCCTACCCAGCAGGTTTTGGCGGTCTGAAATGATAGGCTGGCCCCAGTAATAAGTCAGAGAAATACCGATAACCTCTAAATACCCTTGGCCCATCCCTGTCCTTGTATAAATAGCACAGCCAGATTTATCTACCTTGATCAACCACAATCCATAAATTTAGACTCCCAAATGGGCGTAAATCCCAGGGAGTTTTGTCCATTCCATCCCACGGGCTTGGAAGCACAATTTCTCCGCACCTTCCACACCCAACCCAACTCTGCCCCCACCAGCAGAGCGCCCTTACCTCTGCCCAGGACATGGCCTCTCTCCAGGTGCCTTCCCGGCACCTGAAACATGTGGACCTCGGCACTGAAGCCAGGACGGCAGGGTTTGGGCTCAGGCTCGGGCTCCAGCTCCTGGCAGAGCCATGATGAGATCTGGGGTGGAAGAAAGGTAGACAACCTGGTGACTTGGGGAAGCCCACACCGAAACCAACAACGCAACCCTTCCCTCGCCTAGGGCATCGGGATTGTGGGAGGACCCTCCTCGGGGCAGACAAGGACGCCACCCTCTCAACCCGAAACCAGCCGCAAAACTCCAAGAACCCTTGGGGGAGGGGACTTCGAGGGTCACCACCTCTCAATCAAGACTACCTTTACTGCCTGACTCCATTTGCATCACACTGGAGATGCCTAACTCTTCAGTGCAGCACTTTCCTTAGACCACAAACGCCTTTCTTACTCCAGACAGCCCGCAACCCCAGTCTTCCGTGTCCCTTATTTCCACGGCAGGTGCTTTTTTTCTAGTAAAGTTCCTTTCCTTACCTCGGATCGTCCGCGCTACTTCTGCCCCCCCACCCCTTTTTCATACAGGACCCCATCCTGCTCCACGCCCCCTCTGCCCGCCTCAAAGCGGGACCCTGCTCAACTCGGGGTCCCGAGAGCCCGCAGCGTGGCTCGCCCCACCTGGGAACCTACGGGAGAGGCTGCGCTCTCCTGGGCCCCCCTCCCACTCCACAGCACGCAGCCCCGCGCCGCGAAGCCTCCAGGGAGATCTGGCTCTCTGGACCCCAACTTTCTTGGAAGAGGGACGGCAGCAGGCAGAAAGGCTCAACGAAGTGGGTCGTAGGGCCGGAAGAAGTCCTGCCGAGAGTCAGGACATTCCAAGTACCTGCAGCAGGATCAGGATCACGCAGAGGCTGCGGCTTGGGGATCCCATGGCTGGCCGGGCTGGCGCCGAGCAAACACGGAACTCGGGTGCGGTCGGGCAGGGCCGGGTTAGGCCGGGCTGGAGTCTAGCAGAACTTCCCGAAAACTCACTGATCGCCGCTGCTACCCACTCCACTGAGCCAGGCAGAGGCTGAGGCGGCCAGGTGAGCCTGAAGGCACCGCCCCCGGGCGCCACTGATTGGTTGAGGACGCACCTGCAGGTGGCAGCCAAGGAGCCTCACGGCCCTCGACTTCCTCCACCCTTAATTGTATTTGGTGGCAAGGGGCCGGGCTAAGGAGACTTCCTAGTCCACATTCGTTCGAGTCCTTGCCCAGCCATTGTAACTTGGAGTTACAAAGGACTTTAATCTTCATCTATGTTTTTATTTCGTTTTTCTTTATTGTGTTTGGTCGGAGGGATTTGTTTGGTTTGGTTTACTTTGTCTTAAGGATTTTAAAACACATTTTAGCGCGCGCGCGCGTGTGTGTGTGTGTGTGTGTGTGTGTGTGTGTGTGTGTGTGTGTGTGTGTGTGTGTGTGTGTATTCTCGCAAACGCATGCGCCACAGCCGGTATGGAAATAGGATAACAGCCTGCAGGAGTAGTTCTCTCCTTTTGCCAAGAGGGTCTGGGGATTGAATTCACATCATCACCCTTTACTGACTGGCCATCTCTCTATAGCCTGAATTTTTTTTCTTTTTGTTTTTTCTTTGTCTTTTTATTTGTTTTCCACCCCAAGCGGGGCTGGAACTGTCTTAGGTAGCCTAAGCAATCATCCTGCTTTCCCCTCCCAAACACTGGGATTGCCTGTGAACCACCAGACCAGGCTCATCTAATCATCTAATGTTCTAACATCTGTTCCACTCCGTTTTGAGGCATGGTTTTGTTATGTAACACAGTGTGGTCTTGAACTCACTGTTGTCCAGTTTCAGCTTGCCCACTACTGGTGTGGAACTATAAATACCCACTACCATGCCCCACTAAAATTCGTTCTCTTAACTTCCGTTCTCAGCAGGTTAGTGCAAGCAAAACACCAGTGTACATGAAATATAAATAAATAAATAAGACTAGTAGAGCCAGGTAGTGGTGGTACAAGCCTTTAAACCCAGCACTTGAGAGGCAGAGGCAGGCAGATTTCTTTTGAGTTTGAGACCAGCCTGGTCTACAAAGCTACACAGAGAAACCCTGTCTCAAAAAAACAAAACAAAAACAAAACAAAAAAAAAACAAAAAAAAAAAACTAGAACTCAAACTTTCCTGCTCCATAGATTGAGGCTGTTTGTTTTTCAAGACAGAGTTTCTCTGTGTAGTCCTAGCTGTCCTGGAACTATGTAGACCAGCCTGTCCTGGAACTCACCTGACTCTACCTCCCTAGTGCTGGAATTAAAGATGTATACCACCACTGCCCAGCTAGATTGAGGCTTTTAATGCCATAGCCATACCATGGTCACCAACACTTTCTTCAGAGAATTCTGTCCCTGGTACATAACTTTAGGATCAAAAATAAGATAGATAAACATTAAATCAGACAGCTTCCCTGTCTGTGGCTTGCCATGTCTAGCTACATGCTAACAAAGAGACCTCTGACTCTTATTGATCCAGGCTTTGACAAAACGACAGAACAGAGGTTGGGAAGTGTGGCTGTTTGTAGAGTGCATGCCTAACATGAATGAGGCCCTGGGTTCCACCCTCAGCACTATCTAAACCAGGTATGGTGTTACCTACCGTAATTCCAGCACTGGAAAGTGGAGGCAGGAAAATCATAACTTAAAGGCCATTCTTCTCAGCTACATACTGAGTTTGAGCTCTCAAACAAGCAACCCAAAACTACAAAATAATGTTCCTGCAGTCACTGACTTTGTGACCTTTGACAAGTTAGTGTCCTCATCAGTACAAACAAGTCCGAAGCCAAACCAGTCACCCAGTGTAAGGGCTGTGCTTTTGAAAAGCCCAGCTCTATGGCCTGTTCCAGGGGAGAGTCAGGTTTACAGTATTTCCCATGAAGCTAATGGTGAGCATAAATGAGGCACCAAAGAGCACAACTTCATCTGTAGAGGCTGTGCCTAACCCACACTGTCTTTGCCAGCCTTACCGAGTGAGGCTGACCCCTCCAGCCTAATGGGTTTCCAAGCACACACCCAGCAGTCTTTTGAATTTCTGCTCCTTGGCTCCCTCTGCCTCTTAGCCCACCAGGAGGCTCAGAGGGAGAGGACTCTGGTATTTCCTTTCCCACTGAAGCTCTTGCCCAGATCCCTCATAGAACAAGATAATGGAAATACAGAAAGGCGTTTTCCCCCATGGGGCAGCCTTGTCGTTTATTATTTTTTTCCTCTCAGTTATGTAAAAAATACATATTTCATACCATTGCTGGATGCAGGGAGTCTTTGGAGCTTTGATTTCTTTTGCCCAGCAAGCATTGGCCTTGAAACTCTTCCATTACAATCTAGTAATTCAATAAAAAGGATTTTTGACAATTAAGGGCAACACGGACAGGTCAGGTCTGAAGCACTTTTTGGCCTGATGCATTTCTTCAGGCTTTGGAGAGGGTCAGAAATGGCTACTCACCACCCCACACACACACACACACATACTGTCTATCCAGGCTGAGAAGAGAATACAAGGGGGCCTCTATACAGTTGAGGCTCTGTGAGGCAGTGAACTTCCTCAGTTTACTCTTCTGTCAAACAGGCATAAACCTTGAGTGTGAAGACCCACTGAGTGAGTGTGTAGAGACTCCACTATGGGAGCTGAGTAACACTCAGCCTTAGTCTTCATTTATCAGTCCATAATAGGGATGGTGTCAATAGTATAAGTTCAGAAGCTTTTTAGTTGGTGGTTTTGTGATAGGATCTCTAGCCCAGGATGTTCTCATACTATGTAGTTAAAAAGATAAGCACACATTTCTGAACTTCTGCCTGTATCTCCAGGGTGAGTCAGGGATTTCAGGTATGTGCCTCCATACCAGACTTCCCAGGTTAGCAGGAATGTGAGGGAATCCAGGGCACTGTGAATGCTAGGCAAGTTTACAAATTGAACTGAACATCCCCAGCTCTTAGAAGATTCTCAGATTCTCCTACATACTCTATAGCACTTTTGTTGTTGTTGTTAGTAGAAAGAGAGAGAGAGATCCCTTTTGTGCTTTCTTTCAAAAACATTTTATTTATTATTTACACAGTATTCTGTCTGCATGTTTGCCTGCATGTCAATAGGACACCAGATCTCATTTCAAATGGTTGTGAGCCACCATGTGATTACTGAAAACTGAACTCAGGACCTGTGGAAGAGCAGTAGGTGCTGTTAACCTCTGAGCCATCTCTCCAGCCCCTTTGTCTTTTTGAGACAAGGCCTCAACTAGTTACCCAGGCTAACCTTAAACTGAAGGTTACAGGCTTGAACCATCAGGCCCAGATGACTATGCAACACTGTCCAGCAACTGTTTAGGTGAAACCATCTATGGCAGAAAAGATAAGACAAAACAAAAACAAACAAGCAAACAAACAAACAAAATGTGAGTAGCCTGGGAACTTCCCCAGCTTCAGGCTCTTTTCCTCACCCTCTCAGGCTGTCTGTGCCCTGGGAAAAACTTTCACACATCCAGCTAATCATCTAGAAAGTCTCAGGGTCATTTGCATATTAAAGAGGGTGCTGGGGGCTGAATTTGCTGCTTACAAAGGAATGAGATCCTTAGAGCCTGTCCAGGGGCAGTAACCTCTTGTGTTGGGTGGGCTGTGAAGAGGATCTGTGGTTGCACCCAATGCATCTCAGTTGGGAGGAGAAAAATAAAATAAAATAAAATAAAATTCAGGAGTTAGGATCCTGGGAATTTCAGGCACCAACAGGGAAAAGTATCCTGGAGATCACTCCAGAAAGACTGACAGACTGTCCCAGCCTTCAGGAAGCTATAGGCTTCTTTGTTGCACAATGAGGCTATGGCTGATGGACTTTCATTTCCTGAATGCCCTCTTGGTCAGTGGGAGGCTAATGATTAACTAACTCCCTGAGCAGTCTTGGGTTCCAGCCCCAGGATGAAAAAAAAAAAAAAAAAACCAAAAAACACTAATGGCTTCACAGGTATAGTGGCAATAGCTTTTAATTCTAAGATCTCTGTGAGTTAGGCCAGCCTGGTCTGTATAGACAATTCCAAGCCAGCTGTGGCTACTCAGTGAGACCCTATCAAATGGGTGGGAGGGGGGCATGGTTACTTCCATATAAACAATGTACAGTCTCCTTATGGAAGTCATCCCAAATTACCTAATACAATGCAGATGTTGTACACTGCTTATATATGCTGTCCTGGAACTCACTATAGAGAACAGGCTGGTCTTAAACTGAGATTCACCTGCCTCTGCCTCTCAAGTGCTGGGATTGATGGTGTGCCTTTACTCCCAATTTTCAGATACAATTTTTAATTTTACTTTATCATTCTTGTCCTTTTTGGATACAATTTTTATTACACTCATCTATCTGTCTCTCTATGTATCTATCTGAGGGGAAGTGTCATGGTGTGAGTAGAGTGTGGAGGTCAAAAAACAGATTGCAGAAGTAGATTCTCTCCTTTTACCTTGTGGATCCTGGGGGTTGAACGCTGTCATTAGGCTTGGGGATAGGCATCGTTACCAGATGGGCCATCTGGCTGATTCAGATAAATGGGTGGGGTTTTTTGTTTTGTTTTTTGGTTTTTGTTTGTTTGTTTTTGCATGATGTGTTGTGTATGCAGTTACAGGTACACATGTGTCCATGTAGAGGCTAGAAGTTGACACATCACTTTGTTACGTTGGGGTAGGGGTTTTGCATTTGTATCTACAAGAGAAGAAAACCTATGGATACCATCTAAGTTAATCAAGATCTGAGTTGAACAAGAGAAACATCTTAATGAAGAGAAATGACAAGTCATCCAACAAATTAGGTCCCATGAGGTGTGTGGAGGCCTCTCAAAGGTAGGAGAAGTGTTCTGTTCTTGTTCTTACAGGAAAACAGAGAAAACCTATCATCAAACAGCCAAAAGACACTGAACATGTAGGTGCCTACAGAAGAGAAGACAGCTCTTCAGAAACAATCACTTAAGGAAGCAGAATCTGATATATGGTAAAAA